TCAGTCTTTTCCCAATACCAAAATTTAAGGGACCTCTTAACACAATAAAATTCATAATTTTCATTTTTAATTTTGTTTGATATATATATATATTATATATCTAAACATTTTGAATATTCCAAAATATTAAAAAAATTTTTTAATAGCCATTATTATTAATCTTATTGATAATAACTCAGTTTGGCGTTTGAGATTTTCTAATTAGGGGTTTTTTTTTTAAAAAACCTATTTATTTTAAAATTTAAATCGAGAACCTATCATTTAGTCATGTCATGAATTTATATTTCAATCCACTAAACACCTCAAATGGTTCATAGTAAATATTTTTATATTTTAACAATTTTTATTCAATATAAATTAAATTTACATTATTTAGCTTGTATAAATTCTTTTCCTGAACCTAAAGACTATAGCACTATTTGTAAAAAAAAAATTAATATTAACTCTTTGGGTCTGCAAAGCAAATACAATTTTCTCGTTACAATTTTTTTTCCTTTTTTAACATACATATTGTTGTAGCTGTTGAAAAAAAGAAGAAATAAATTTAATTTAATACATCAAATGTCAGTTATTTTCTGACAGTGGATTTTAGTTTTCCTGGTGGATGATGGGAAAACATGATCATCACATGGGTGATTGCTAAAGAAAAGTCTTTTGTTGGAGATTTGGAGTGAAGATATTGGATTAATTGGAGAAGATGTCAGCTGGGAAGAACAAAGAATGGATGGGATGAAGAATATATGAAGCTAATTATGATTTACAATCTTTATATTTTTTTAATGGATAGGTATTAGATTGTTGTTTTTTAATGAATAAATATGAAGTCTTATGATATGTTTAATTATGAATAAATATGGATCGTCGTTATTGGTGCACGATGACCTCAGGATTTACTTAGGGATTAATGCGAAACACAATGCAATGTAAAGGATAAGAAAGTGATGCATGTACAGAACCTGGAGATTCAAGAGTTATTTGTTATAAAAAGGTAAGAACCATTTTTTTCATGTAATTTTGAATTTTACTGTGAAACCACAACACAAGTACTAGAAACTATACAGGGGTAGGTGAGATTAAGGGGTGAGTTTAAGGGTTTCTATAATTTTATATTATATATTTAGCTTACAAAGGTTAAGATAGAAAGTATGTAATGGGTATTAGGCAGGAATATGAAAATAAGATCAGGAATGTAAGACAGTAATATTTGGTATATTATATGTCTAGATCTATACTGTATATCCAATTATGGTCTTATTATTTGGTATGCCTTAAAACTCATTGAATGGTGTTATAGGTATTCCGTCATAGGAAGATAAAAGACCTCAAGATCAGCAGGACAGAAAGGATTGCTAATTATTTAAATATGTGAAATTTATGAAAATATATATATAAATGGACTTTTGTAATAGAATATGTGTTATATAATTATGCATTTTGGGTTTTTAAAGGGATGGATATGTGTGGGATAATTTATTATTAATTAATGTTAATATTTTGTATATGTAATTCAGTTTCAATTAAGGTTGATATGTTATTAAGGGATATATTGAGGGTTTAATGTTGTTTATTTTGGTAATTAACCATTTTTATGAAATAGGGTGTAATGTGAATTACACATATGATATATTTAATTATGAATGATAATTTAAAGGAATTGAAGTATGATGAAGTCAGAATAATATCTGTAATGTTAGATGGGGATAGTTATTTTGATTTAGTGTCTGCATTATACATATAAATTGGGTAGGAATTTATATGATATATTAGATGATGTATAATAATTTTTTTTTCAAATTATGAAATCTTTATATTTAATATATATATATATATTTTTTAAATTATAAATTTTATAAAAAGTTTTATTTGCAATTATTATATTATTTTTATGGTATGCAATGATGTGAAGGGAAAATATTTTTACAGATAAGGTCAGCCCGTGTTGATGGGTATGCTTTGAAGTGAGAATATTGTTTAGTTTGCATACTGGAGAAAGTTTTTTTTTTGTGTAAAATTTTTTTTGTAAATTTATGCTGCATATTACATTTTTTTATCTTTGATAATTTTATAGCACATCACTATTTACTATTTATTTATGAACATTTTTTTTAAAGAAAAGACTCAAATTATTTTATATTGTGATGGTATATTAAAAATTCTTTACATATATACCATATAGCCCATTATATTCTCAATTTTTGTTACTTTGCATTCTACATTTTTGTGAATTTGTGCTAATTGTGATGGCAGAGTTAGGTAGAAAGGGTATATTTTTCTTAGGATACTGAGTAATTCCTAGATGGAAAATATTGTATTTTCTACATATTATATATTTTTCCTGCCTATAAAAGATTACTTTTATATACATATGTCTTGTAAATTTATTTAAATTCTTTGTTCAGCAAATTTTCACAATTATTTTTAATACCTAAAAATGGATTTTTATATCTATTTTAGGAGATATTTATAGAAATGTAGCATTGATTTTGTTTACATGACAGAAGGACAATTACTTGTGTTGAAATTGCATTTCACACATAGACAATGTGTTCACATTACAGTATTATATGTAAAATCATTATTTCCTAATTACCATTAATCATACCCAAATAATGTATATTATAGCTCATATTTCCCAAATGTCTTAAAATGAATGAATTATTATGTTTTGCTGATATTACATTGTCCATTGTTCCATAGATTATAAATGCAGATACCCCAATGCACATGTCATTATTGATAATATGTGTTCGATTAAATATTGAAATGTATCGTAGATATTATATTATAAATCATACGGGGAGACGATTCGATAAATTCCCTAAAGGTTTCCACGTGCCCCGATACAATTCAAAGGGGCGATTCGATACAATTCAAAGTCGATACCATTCAAAGTCAATAAAATTCAAAGAGGCGATTCGATACAATTCTAAGGGCGATTCGATACAATTCAAAGGGCGATTCGATACAACACCAACACAGAGGGAGGGACGCTGGGCTTGTGAAGGGTGGGCGTGTTGTAGCTGTTGAAAAAAAGAAGAAATAAATTTAATTTAATACATCAAATGTCATTTATTTTCTGACAGTGGATTTTAGTTTTCCTGGTGGATGAAGGGAAAACGTGATCATCACATGGGTGATTGTTAAAGAAAAGTCCTTTGTTGGAGATTTGGATTGAAGATATTGGATTAATTGGAGAAGATGTCAGCTGGGAAGAACAAAGAATGGACTTTTGGAATGAAGAATATATGAAGCTGGATAATTATGATTTATAATCTTTATATTTTTTTAATGGATAGGTATTAGATTGTTGTTTTTAATGAATAAATATGAAGTCTTATATGTTTAATTATGAATAAATATGGATCGTCGTTACATATATATATCGGAGACCTGCAAGATACCATTTGTACGGCCCGGCCTGGCCCAGATTAAAAAATTATTGGCCCGGCTCGGATTTTTTTTTCAAAAATTTAAAATTATATTCGACCTTGTGTATACAAAAAATTCACTTATTCGGTATTTTATCATATTTTTCGGCGAGTATTATCATTAAATAAGCAAGTATATTAGCTAATGTTGTTAAACGGCTCGTTTTGAGCCGATTTTTAAAAACGGCTAACTCAATATTTTCGCCAGAAAAATATTGACTAAGCCTCGAAATTTCGATACTATATGTCTAGACCTTTGTTCCTTCTATGAGCAAAATCTTCAGACTTGCACAATATTTTTCTGGATAAAACACTGAGTTAGCCGTTTTTAAAAATCGGCTCAAAATGAGTTTACAACACTACGTATTTTATTTTTTTTTATTCTATAAGCAGATATTTAGTATATTACAAATTGATACTATAAAAAATTTTTGTAAATAATATTTTGAGAATATACTATGTATTTATAAAAAAAAAAAATTGATATTTTAATTAATAAAAAATATAACATATTATATATTATATAATAATGTATTTAATCCTTTGCGTATTTATTCCATGGCACAAAAACTATAATTTTATTATGTAACAGATACTATGAGTGTTAGCTAGTGTTAACTTTCACCAAACTTTATATTAATCATAACTATATATAATCATTATAACCATATCTAATTGACGAATATAATAATTTATGTTGTATAAATTTATAAAAAAATTACGGCTCAGCCCGGCACGAATATTTTTTTAAAAATATTTTCAGGCCCGGCCCGGGCCTTGCCGGGCCGGGATTAGGGCCGGGCCTGCAGGTCTCTGATATATATATATATATTTTAATAAATCTATTATAAAATTTTATTACAAACTATAATGAGAGAAAATATATATATTATATTTAAAATGATAAACAATTATATAATAGACTAATTTTATATTAATTTATTTGCGTTTTGTTAATTTAATTAATAAGTATTTAGGCGCCTAATCATTTTTTAATTATGTTCATTAAGCCTAGAAAATTGTATCGATCCAAAATATCGTTTTATTAATTTAATGTTTTTTTATTCCCTAATTATACTTAGTCTAATTTGGTGTCAATATATATTGTTTTTTTTTAAAAAAAATTTATAAAAAATATTTAATGGGGAAAAAATAATATAATTTTAATACAATGTATAGCGATGAGTTTGAAAAAACATTTTTCTTAAACATATTAAATAGTTAAAATTAATTCTTAGAAAAAAAAGCTAATAAAGACAGAAATTTCTTGATCATTATTATTAAATTTATACTAATCTCTAATAAAAATTCTTCGAAAAAATAGCGAATAAAGACAGAAATTTCTTGATCATTCTTATTAAATTTAATCTTTAATCTAAATTCTTTATAAAAAAAGCGGATAAAGACAGAAATTTCTTGATCATTCTTATTAAATTTACTAAACTCGTTAAATATATCGATAGGATAGTTTCATCTAAAATTTCTAACAAATGAGTCTCATTCCTTCAAGATAAAAAAAAGTAAGTTTTTTTTTGTTTTTCTTTCTTAACAGCTAATTTATTTTAATAAAGTTGGGGAAAAAAATTGACTTTGACTAGATTTAAGCTCTATTAGGCTAATCGATCACGTGATTTCCATGGGAAATAGTTTTTAAAGAAAAGAAACGACATCGCCTCCAAGGCTCACGGTACATAGATTTATGATCACTATATATATTTATTTGAATACGATTGGTCAATTGTCTGATATTCGCCAAATACATAAGCGTTTGCGTGTTTCTTTATATGTTACTACCACGTTACTATAAAAAAAATAATATTATATCAAGTTAATATTAATAATTAATGATATAATTTATATATTTTAACAATATAAATTATATTACATCATAAAAAGAGATTGGTGCACTTAAGCAAAAATTGTGTCTCGTTTAAAATTCAGAGTGCTTTTTCCAAATTGTTTTTACTTTTAAAATAGCTAAAAAATATAAGCCAGTAAATAACAATCATAACATGTTCAAAATTTTTTAATCTATAAATTTTTACTTCCTGTAAAGAATGACGTCTTTAGGTAATAATCATGCCACCATGCGTATCTTATTAGGAAGGCTTCAAAAACAAAACCCAGGATTAAAGGAATAACAACTCTTGATTATCTACTCCCGTCCTAATCTCCCATACCACCAAGAATGGCATCTTGTCTTGTCTTGCCTCTCGTATAAACCGACTACTGATAAGGTTTTCTTCTAAGATATATGCTACTACTTTTAATAATTCGATCCCTTTGGTAAATTATTTAATATACCATAATGTTTCGAAATCTAAATGTATCGGGAATAGATATTTTTTCTTACCCGGGTATCGAACCGTTAAGTATGACGGTTCAATTCTTATTCCGGTCAAGATCCATTCTGGTTATCTTTAAACAAATTCATATTGGTTCGTTTGGGATTGAAATTCCTATTGGTCCATATTGAATAATCGAAAATTTGATTTGGCTTTAAAACAAAAAAATAAAATGTCAAATCATATATAAATTTTATGTATATATATATTCTATATATAAGGTTAAAATTTAAATATTATGAAAAATGTGACCTGAATCTGTTAATAACAATTTTTCTTTATTAACAAAGAATTATGAATATCAGCAATGCCACCGAGGAACATATATGCCATTCCATTGTAGACGTTGGTAGCCATAAACAAATAATTTTGACATCGGAATGGGTATTGTATTGCTTGCTAACTCCACTCATCATCATCGTAGGGTTCCTGGGAAACGCTTGTATCATATATGTATTGACTAAAGGATACAGGGTTTCTACAACCGCGCCCTCGATTAAGCAGTTGCCCAAAGCTTACACCTACATAAAATTAATAGCAATATTTGATCTCTTGTCTTGCATTATGGCGATACCGTGGCCTATATTATATTATTGGGGGAAGAAGCATGACATTTGGTTTTCGAATGACAAGGAATTTGATTCCTATATTCCTTATTATTACCAACGTTTCCCATACGTTTCATTTCTGTCGGTGGTAGAATTCCCTTTAAAATTTACTTTCTCAAAAACTTCCGACATATTGATTATCGTATTGTCCATTGATAGGTACATAGCGATACGCTTTTTATTGAGTTACAACCGATTGCAAGGTTTGATGAATGTCAAGTATATATTGACCTCCATTATAGTTTTATGTTTCCTGTTAGGATTACCTATGGCTATGTGGTATAGTACAGCTCCAATAAACTTTTCAACTGTCGCTTACGACTGCATTAAATTCAATCGCACAAAAATCGGTAGTAAAATAAATTCTCCTCAAAATTGTACCATTCGCGATTGCGGCAATGAATCCAATTTTCTAAATATTAAGCCTAACGATGTACTAACCAACGTAAATCCTAGGGTGGCGGCGTTTCAATTAATTTCAAACAAAGCGGGTAGAAAAATTAAAGCTTTCCTTATGTACGAAATATTTAGAGAAATTTTGCTCACCTATATCCCTTTGGTGCTACTATTCATCATAAACATCAACATAATAATAATTTTTTCGAGATACATAAAAAGGAAGCAACGTATGGCGATGACGGGGAATAGCAACATTGAAAGGACCGTGGCATCCAAAAAATCTGAGAAAACGCGCAATCGGTTTCTCCCGCCCAAACTTCGCCGCGATAATTTTAAGGTTACACCCACAGATAAGCAAGATTCGATGATAATTCGCAGCTCCAATAATACGAGCCTGTCTAACATGAAAGACCGAATATCGTTTACCAGATTAAGCCCTATTCACCCCACAACTACCGCGAATAAATGTGCGTCAGATTATTCCACGGAGCGACGAGTTAGACTCTCAAAAAAAGAGAAAATTTTGACATACACCTTGATCACCCTGATCGGAAAATACTTGATATTCACGATTCCGATCGCCACGGTAAACGCGATTTATTTGCACTATTACTGTCCCGAGTCTCTTTGCCTGTTCAGGGACATTGTCACGCTAGTTAATTTTTTGGAAATAGCTAAGAGTTGTACAAATTTTTTCATTTACTATTTCTTAGATAATAATTTCACGAGAATGTTAAATAATTTGCGAAGAAATGTTTAATTGATTTATATATTATGTATATATATATAATAAAGATAACGATTCGTGATAATAAATGGAAAAAGTTCATAATTACTGGAAAGACAGCGTTAATACATGGGAGACGCATTTTAGGACATCACTGACAAATAAAAGTGTCACTAATGTGAGGGGGGAGGGGAGAGAAAGAAAGAAAGAAAAGAAAGAAATATGAAAAAGAAAGATTAAATGCAAATTACGAAAGTTGTTCAATTAAATTGAATTTTGATAAAAAAATCAAAAAAGAGACTTTTATCGAGAAACTAATTATATTTAAAAATTAATAGAAATTAATTTACACAGTTAATTAACTATATCGAATGAATTGCTTTATTAAAATTTAAAATGTATATAAAAAAATATATATTTCGTCTCTATATATATAATTTCTTGTTGCATCTTTTCCATGTCTGGCTTTTAATAAAAATACAATTTTTTCCTTAGGATGTGTTCAAAATGTTTTGAAAAATCCTTAAAATTTTAAAATTTTCGCAAATTAATAACAACACATTTTGGACACATTTAAGTTTTATAAAAATAAAAATATTCAAAATGATTGATATGATTCAATTTTTAGTTATTTATTAAGAGATATGCAAATATTTAATTATATTTATTATTTTATATTACCTTTCGGTTATTAAAATTTGTATAAACCTATTATTTTGGTTATATTTAAATATTATTTATATATCTAATAAATACATATATGTTGTAAATAATTGTATCAATATTTAATTAATAAACAGTTGAAAAACCAATGCTAACTTTTTTTAAAATTTTTCCATAAAATATATATAAATTGAGTTATATAATAAAATTATAATTGAAACAATATAATACAAAAATAGGGATAATTTACATAAATGAAGCTAAATTTTCACAAAATAGTTTTTAAATTTAAAATATCTTCTATTGACATGGCATCAGTTTGACACAAATAAGATTGATAAAAAAACCCAATCATATGATGTTTATCATTAAGCTTTTCTATTTTATTTGAATCTAAAAAAATTATTTCATATTTTTTGTCTTTTAATATTTACATTTGTTGTCTGTGACAATTTAAAACTTGACTCAGAATATTTGTTAATATCATCAACATTTTCTTTTAACCATAAATTAATTTTTCTTATAAAAATTTCACAAATAAATATATTTTTATTCGAAAAAATAAATTTTTATAAATACCGAAAAGGACACTATTTTATTTTTAAATTAAAAATAGCTTTTTGTTTTTTCTAAAAAATTTATTTATTTATATTTTTTTTAAATTTTGCACATAGCCTTATATAATCATAATTTAACTTCATCATTAATTTATATCGTCTGATTTTTCTACAAAAAAATTATAATTTTCTCATTGCAACATATATAAATAAACATATCAATTCATCGTCTGATTTTTATACAAATAAAATTATAAACTATTCAAATTTAAATTTTTTTAAAAAAAAACTTTATTTAACTCTCAAAATTAATATAAAAAAACTTTAACCAAAAATAAATTATATATGCAGATTTTATATATAATATACGAGCACGAACTAAACACATATTTAAAGATGAATATAGGAATTTTTAAAAAAATATATCAAAAGACATAATAAATTTTTGTTAATGATATCTAATGTGTGAACCTTTAAGTTAAAAAAATTTTAAAATCATTTTCAATTTTCTTAGATAACATAGAAAATCTCACCCTATTTTTATTTGATTCTTTTCCTTATATTTCGATTAATCCTTTTATCTTCTTAAATTGATTTATCTTTATCTGATTAAAATATTTCCACTTTTTCATCATTGTTTTCTTTATGCCTTTTTTGATAAGGCCTTAGATAGGTACTATTTAATATATTTTTGTTATTTAAAACCAATAATTTTCAAAAAATTTTTAATTATTTATTAAAGTTTCTTCATTAATTTGTAGTTTTTGTTTTGTTTTGAAATATGAGAGTTCTTATTTACGTCATTGATATAATAAATAAATTTTTTTTATTAACTTCATATTTCAAAAGATTTAAAAAAATCATCTCAGTCGATCTACTTTACTAAACTTTGATTACTTCTTAAGTTTACATTTTTTTGAAATCAATTAATATTTTTAATTCCAAATTTATAAATAAAACTATAATATGAGTGATTACTAATCTTACATAAAAAATATAAAAAGTAAAACAAATATCTATTTTTAAGACAAAGATTATTAATCAAATCAAGGCAAATCACTCCTCAAAAATAAAATTTAAAAAAAAATTTATAAAAAATAAAAGAACTGGTTTGTAAATGAAAAAAGGCCAAATTTTATATGCAGCCTAGATAGGTTAAGAAAAAGTAATACAAATGATCGGGCTGTTGTGTATTGTATTCTCATCAAATTTTCTATATTAAGATTTAATATTTTTGATATAATTTAACTAGTGTTGTTAAAAAGCCAGATTTGTGATCAAGATTTTGGCTAAAATAATATTATGTAAGCTTCGAGATTTGGCAAATTGATGTGCCAAGCATTTCTGGCCAGCTATGAGTAAATTCTTTAGGCTCACATAATGTTATTTTGGTTTATATTCTTTATGCAATCGGGCATTTTAACATCCCTCATAATATTTGGTTAATAATTATTCCTTTAAAGAGAGCAACATCGTGAAAACTGAACGTTAACTAATTGTGATTATATTGGTTTGAAATAAATAATGTCCTAAAGGCAGGGTTTGCCAGCCTCGCGAATATTTGTATTTACGAATCAAGAGACTTTTGAATCTTGTATCTATTTTAAACTTTTCTAAAAGATCACTTAATTCTGGATACAAATTTTAAAAAAAATAAAATTAGTTAATTTTAAAATAGTAATAAAATTCAATATGATATTATTTTTAAAATTTAAATGAAAAATTTAATCCGAGTTCAGATATTTTAAAATAATGTTAATAAATATATGGGACATTGGTCATCATATATGAATTGCTAAACAACCCTAATATTTTATTAAAATCACCATGCAACTATCATTATCCCCTAAAATTATGAAGTAAAGTTATAGAAGATATAATTATTGGAATCGGAAAATGAAAACAATGATGATACACAAGGAGAATACTATTACAAATATAAATTAATTAAGCATGTTAAATGGAAATTTTTTCCAAAGTCACCAAACTTTAACATACCAATTCCAAAGTGTTAAGTATGCAAGCCACAAATACATTTATAATGTATCTTGTAGACCCATCATTCAATTTCTTCAAGCATCTAAAAGTATATTATATAATTTTATCAAAAAACCCATTTATAATGCTAAGATTAGAAAAAGGAAGAAAAAAATATATAAAATATTATTAAATATAAAAGAATAAAAGTAAAATATATATTTTTTTATTTAATTGATAAAGACGTCGTCTAAAATTATATAAAAATTAAATGAATCATCTATGAATATAAACGATTTTTTAGATGATGCAAAAGTTAAAAACACACCACCTTCTTAAATCAATCTTATATTCTATGAGAATTAAGATAAATGGATATTATTTCTCTACATATCATTGTAATCGGACCTACAGGTCAAGTTTAGTTCAAAATAAATCAATCATATACTTAAAGGCTGCTCGCGTTCTAATGTCAAAAGAGTTACAGCCAAAAGTTTTTTTTACTTGCTTGATTTAAGAACTTGCTCGACCCCATTAAAATTGCGAGGTTAGGTTAGTCAATTTAAAAAAATTAAAATTTTATATTAATGGTTATTTTCAACAATATTGAGATCCGGCCCGAACCCGAAATTTTTTTTAAGAAAATTTACCGGCCCGGCCCGAACTTATTTAAATATAGAAATTAATTTCAAAATAAAAGCCATATGTTATATGGCGCGTCTAGTTCTATAAATAAAATCAAATATTTTTATTTTACATAAAAAATTTGAATATAAAATTGAAAAATTTAAATATATTTTAAAAAAAATTCCAAGG